GTCGACGGCCTTATCATTGATATTTATAAATCAACCAATCATTAATCTGTGACAATTGATTAGTATTACTCAATGACACGATCTGATTGCTGGTTAATTTACAGTCCTGGTTTTTCCACCACATGGTTTTGGTTACCACTCAACAGCAATCTATACACGATCAGAATTTTAAGTTTTTTTTCCGCCACTTTTCAGAGAGAGTCACATGTAACCCCAAAAATTAACGCCAAAATCAAACTTTTATCGTCAGCTTGAGCCTCGAGACAGCATTGATGCACGAATTGTATGGACTGCACGGCAACAATCGTTTTTTTTTTTATGTTTTGTAGGGTTTCTAAAACTTGTTTGTATTCGTTCAAAATGAATTCATCAGCAATACTTTGGTCATATTTCTAAACTGGAGATTCGATGCCAAGTATTATTTAACAGGATTGACAGGTCGTCCCGCTGTGAAGAGAGACAAATAACTAATTTTGCTGAGAATTTTAAGAAATAAGACAGATTATTTTATGAATTCGGTACTCTTACAAAATATCCAAATAAAGATGTTTTAAATTTTTTATTGCTATTTTAATCTTTTGGGTCGATAGATAGTATATTTATAGACTCATTTTTGTGAAAATCTCAATTTCGATCAAAATCAATATTTACACTTGTTTTTTCTGTAGCTCATTATTAGAGTTTGTGCATTCTGACTCATTTTGCCATCATGGGTCACAGATGAATCTGACTTGATTATCAGCTTTCACTTTTAATAAATATTCAGTTATAGAGAATTTCATATTCCGAAAAATTAATCAAATACAAGAAACACAGTTCAGAAACAAGAAAAATATGCAAGATTGCGACCACACCAAAATAAACAGAATCAATTTTATAAGAATTAAGATTCAAGTCTAACAAAATAACTTAAAGGAGCTAAATCGCTAATTGGGACCTAGAAATTGTCACAAATGGGTTGCAACGCTTAATGTAATATGAATGTATTTAAACAGATTTACATTCAATCATTTCTGTTTTTACTATAATTGCTAGTCAGTTATGTTTAAAAAATAAACCAGAAATCTCAATTAAATGGCAATCAGAAGCATTTGGTTATTCCAGTCTACACCGATAGTATTTATTGCAGATGCTCTCTCCAGCTAAGAATATGGCATCACCATTTGACATGACATGTGGAATATGTCTAGCTTCGAGTCTATTGTTACAAATGGCGCTGAAACGCATTATGGTACACGATTCGTGTACCAATGGTAAAATATTTATTTTGTCTTAAATATTGGATATCACAAGCCCATCTTTTCCTGGTAAGATCACAACATCAATGTTGATTTAAATTAACAAATAATTTGTGTTTTCAATGTCAAAGACTTTAGATAATATTGAGTTAGAGACTTAGCTACTTTAACGTCCTGCCCACACAATTCTGGCAGAAAAATATTATTGAACAAAATATTGCAGTACTGAAAATAATCCTCACATTTTAACAATAAATTGAATATTCAAAATTTCTTTTAGAAAAAATCGGGTCTGATAATTAGCGCCCACCATTCTGGTTTCCTTTTATCCATCAAGCAACAAAACTCTATTTAATGTCTCAATGCACCAGATGGCCAAGAGAGAGAGAGAGAGAGAGAGAGAGAGGGGGGGGGTCAACGACGTCCACTGATACAAACTAGGTCATTTCAGGACTAACATATGGTTCAATTTCATTTCAACAATTCACTTGCACGTAGGGGTTGGACAGGCGACCCTACTCCTTGTCATGTACAACCGGGAATCGAAACCATGCCAGTTGTCTCAATGACAGACCTTATGATACAACGCTCACATGCTAACCATTCGGCCATCCAACACCGCACCCCACCAGATGGCCTATAGTAATCTAAACCGAAACAAAACATGTAGGTAATATGCCGTCATGAACTCTATGTTTTTACATACAAGTGAAATGGCACTCTGACTTCGGGAAAAATGATAGTAACATGAAATCAGTAGAAATAAATTAGAGGTTCGGCAGATGTCCTCTGAGAAAAATTAAAATTTTGTATGTTTTGTTTTTATTTTAATAAAATATAATGCCAAAACAGGCCACACACACTAATTCAATATGATTGTGTTGCCATGACGAAAATTTCTAGTGTTTGTTCATATTTGTACTGTGTATTAAATTTTGATCCAATACTATATATCTGTGTAAAGGGAATATGCTGAAAATTTCAGTCAGATTTCTTAACTCTGAATCAAGATATTAGAGATTGAATTTTAGGCCTAGTCTCGATCATCATTACTAAAGTCGGAACAAATAACAATATAGTCTTGATTATCCATTTTTAGATTTAATCATCAATGAGCGTTGAGCAGCTGATCGGATTCAAATCCAGTAAATATCGCAGGCTAGCAATGACATCGAGAGTTGATTATGGTCTGGATAAGTTAATTAATGTCTAATTAATAATTTAGATAATATTTCAGGCCTAAAGAAAGACCTGCAATAGGCATTATGTAAGAGCTAAACCTGCCTATTGCAGATCTTTCTTTGGGCCTTAAATGTTATATAAATTATTAGACATTTATTAACTTGACCAGACCATAATCAACAGTCGATGCCATCAGATGGCTCTGATTTCAAGTAGATTAGAACAGTTTGGCCATTTAATGATTTAATCTAAATATGGAGAAGCGAGGCTATGACTCGAATTTACAACTTGTCAAAACTAAAACCAATAACTTTGCTCAAAGAAAACGTGAAAAAACATGTAATCCCAATTGAGTATTCATTGGTGTCTACTGTTCATAGCTGTGTTTTTCCTCATTTAGTTTGAGTCATTTTATGTGTCTATGACTAGTCTCTGTCTACGGTTGTATGACGTCTGACTTACCATGTTTATATTTTGCAAAATTCAGATACTTTTCATATATATTTAGCCAGGTGTGCTGCTATTTTTTTCATGTGTTCCAAGGTATGCCATTGGCAAAAAAAGGTTGAGAACCAATTTGTCTATACAAACAATCCGAAGGAATTATTAGTGAGCAGAAATTATCCTGTGTATCTGTTATTACTGATCACTTCAGTCAGTTATAGTTATATAGAAGAATAACTCGTAGCAATGATCTCTGTGATAAAATTATATTTGGAAGGTGTTTAACCAGTTCTATCACATATGTGATAATGACTGACACCAATATTGTCCTTTAAGATCCATTAAAATATAGCTCCATGAATTAAGTAACACTGTGAACCGTGTGCAGGTTATATTAGCACGACGTATTAAACATTTACTATTGGGTCGTATTTATCAATTGTGAGAATAATACATTTAGAATTAATCGAATTTTGGCCTACTATAGATCGGGTAGATCTTAAAGGGACAATAACACTCTTGCTGGCTTGACAGCTCCAGAAAATAAAAAATAGCTTTATTCTAAGTATTAGATGTTTTAGTGTCCTACCTGTTGTGTAAATTATCCATTGAATCCTATTTTACTTGTCCAGAGGATTCAAAAATATTTTTAAATCCTAGTTACATTTGAAAAGCTTTACGTCCGGCTTTTCAAATCGTTTAGTTGAATTTTTCCAATTTTTTAAATTAGGTGTGTTAAGATGAAATTTGTATCATCAACTAATTGGAATATTGTAAAATAGTACAATTTGTTGATTAGAATAAAGATTGGGACATATTATTCAGTTACAACAAGAGTGGTATTGAGCCTTTAAAACATTCTAGCCTAAAGATGAAATATTCTGTCTTGATGACAATAATCTTTTATATGGCTTTCTGTTTCTTTGAAATGGAGAGAGAGAGAGAGAGAGAGAGAGAGAGAGAGATGGGGTTTAACGTCCACTCGACACAAATTCGGTCATTTCGGGACTAACATATGGTTTAATTTTATTTCAATAATTCGCTTGCGCGTAGGGGTCTTTAGCAGTGGGAGGAAACCGGAGGACCCGGAGAAAACCCATGGGGTTGGACAGGCGACCCTACTCCTTGTCACGTACAACTGGGGATTCGAAACCACGCCAGTTGACTCAATGACAGGCTTTATGATACAGCACGCAAGTGCTAACCATTCGGCCATCCCACCCCCCTCTTTGAAATGGTCAAGATCCACAGATCTAGAGGTATGAAGGAGTGGGTATCCAGTTAAAGGCATGAAAGAGTGAATGCCTATCCTGGCCACCTGACCAGTTTAAAGGTCACCGGAAATGGTTAAGCTTTTTATTAAATAATGCAAGTAGTTATGTCAACATATACTTCCTGCAACAGGTAAATTTCAACGTTAGTATTTTCCGCCGTTCTCTTTGGGTAGTGGTAACTTTCCATCAATAAACAACTGTGACGTCATTTTAGTCCTTCTGCTCATATTCTACTCTATATTTCTATGAGCAGAGGGGCTAAAATGACGTCTTGATTGTTTACTGACGGAAAGTTACGACTACCCATGGAGAGCGGTGGTAATTTAACTGTTGCAGGTAATATTGACATTCGGGATCGTGGTATATTTATGGAAAGGATATGTTGATATAATTACTCGCATTATTTAAAAAAATTATGAAGCTTTTCCGATGACCTTTAAAGTAGTGAGATGTGGGTTCATATCCAGTTACAAATACCACAAATGTTAGAGGTATGGATGAGTCAGAGGTATTGAGGAGTCAAAAATATTACCCACATTTTCCAACTGTGGTTAAAGGTATTGAGGAGTCAAAAATGGTTAGAGGTATTGAGGAGTCAAAAATGTTACCCACTTTTTCCAACTGTGGTTAAAGGTATTGAGGAGTCAAAAATGTTACCCACATTTTCCAACTGTGGTTAGAGGTATTGAGGAGTCAAAAATGGTTAGAGGTATTGAGGAGTCAAAAATGTTACCCACATTTTCCAACTGTGGTTAGAGGTATTGAGGAGTCAAAAATGTTACCCACATTTACCAACTGTGGTTGGGAGGAATCTGAAACAATAAACATAATAGAAAGCGTTAATGAAAGCTAATTGACTTACCTGTAACTTTTGATATAGTTCTAAATTTATTCCCTTGATGTCATCAATCTGTTTACGAAGAGAGATAACTGTATCCTGTTTTTCATGGATATCTTTTTCTAGCAGTCTTGAAGCCATTTCCATCTCCATTTTCATACTGATCTGTAGTTGTAGTTCTTTTTCAACATCCTTACAAAAACGAAATAAAATTATTATTATTACAGCATATTTATAGTGCACCCTTTCATACAACATGTTCAGGGGCACTTTACAAAGTGACAAAGTAATCATAAATAAACAACAAGATTATGGACGTTAACGATTGTATACAGAGTGAGTTAAAAGCCTGATTTAATAAATGTGTTTTAAGTTAAGAGTATAGAGACTTACAACATCTTAATCTAAATGGCTAGATTATTCCATAAAACATGGCTTGATAACTAAAAGAGCGCTGACCATAAGAGACTAGTTGAACAATTTGGGGCTTTAAAAGCAGTTTATCTGATGAACGTAATTTTCAACTAGTCTTTTATGGTTAGCGCTCTTTTAGTTATCAAGCACCTGTTTTATGCGTAATATACATAATTTGTCAACAATAAGATCTGTCATGACAACATACAATCTATTAACCCTTTCTGATAGAATCGATCACCACTTCAAATTTTCTATTAATCAATGAAGTACTTTAATCTTTGTATCACCTTTGACATTTAACTGATGCCATTAAGGCCAGACCAGTATTCATTGTATCTGTTACAGTGATAATTTGGTTTGAAGTAATTGAGATGTGTTTGTTTTTCTTGCTAAATACCAAATTAAGCATTAGAGTTATTACCAAACTGAGCCTCTTAATTAGGCACAGACTATGATTTAGGCATGGAAGGTCCCAGAAATCATATATTATATTTGAGACCAATAAGCAAGCTTGGACATGGCACCTGTCACAGACTTTGTCCACTCCAGATTATCTATACCACAACACACTCGACAAACCTCAGCAGATTCCAGTACCCTACATCAAGCCTCGGCTGTATGACGAAGTCCTACATTGGATTATCATACAAAGCTTTCAAAGTCTGAAGCTGTTTTTCTTTCTAGTTTATCCGATTTTCTTTAAACAAGGACACTCTTTAAATTGTACACTCTTCTAACGGTGCAATTTTGAGAACTTTCTTTCTAATAGTGGTAAGTTTTGCAAAAGGTAAACCAGTAGCCGCATTGCAATTGCATAGGTGTAGGTACATATCACTTACTGTCATACAGCTGAGGCTAGATGTATATTACAGGAATTTGCTGAGGTTTGCCGAGTGTCACACAACATATATGTACAAGTATGGACATAAGGCACCTGTCACTGTAACGAAGGTATCATTTAATCTTGTGTATCTAGCACTAATTTCTTTCACATTCGTTTAATATCAAATATTTGTTTAAAAATTCATAAAAATCGTTTAAAATCACCAAAAATCATCTAATTTGTACTTGTGTCCAGTTTAAAGCCGACTGATTAATTTTAATAATGAGTGTCCAATTTACAAGTATTTAATTTCCTGACCACTGTTCAAAAATTAACCATTATATATATACATCATTAATCAATTGGGTTGTTTATTTTTTAACAGTGATTGAGAAATTAAACACTTATAAATTGGACACGCATTATCAAAACTGAATGGTCAGCTTTAAATGGACAGAAGTACAATTTAAATGATTTATGGTGATTTTAAACAGTTTTTACAAATTTTTAAACAAAGATTGGATATTAAACGAATGTGAAAGAAATTAGTGCTAAATACACAAGATTAAATGATACATGGAATATAGTGTGTTGTCACAGACATTTTTAGACACACCTGTGCCTGACAAAGTCTACAACAGGTGACTTTATGTCAAGGCTTGCCAATAAGACTGATTGTTCTAAAAATGGGCCTACACTATGTCGATGACATGTAGCTTCCAACAAAAGGCACAATTTTCATTTTCAATATCATTTGTTATTGACTCTTGGTATATTCTTTTGTTTGTTATTTTCTTTGAATGGCATTTGTGAAATTTTGTCAAAATGTTGCAGTGTAATAACCCATATATTAATTGTTATCCCATAATAGCATTTTAATTGATATTCTTGTCTTGTGTTCAAATATTGTGACAAATTTAGGAAATCAAATGAAATGGAATGGGGTTTAATGTCCTACTGTTCTGCTTTGACTGGGCTAATGAAGACGGGACGAATTTAAGAGAAGTTGCAGAACCATGGTGACTATATTTTTACATCATTTCACTGAAGAAAGAGGATTCGAATTGAATGAAGTTTTAAGCATAAGGAATTACTTTTAGATAAAAGATAGGTTGCCAGGCAATGGAACATATAATCAAGAAGTCCAGCGATAAAGGTTATCGCATTGTGGTTCTTTAATTAAAAAAAGAGTGAAATCTTTGTAGCATAATTTTGTCAACATGTCAAAAATATTTTTCTTTTTCAGTATAATAATAATTAATTAATTTATTATATAGCGCCGACAATTCAACTGAGCAAGCTGCTCTCGGGCGCTTTACATAAGTACAACTAATATAAAAATACAACAATTACAACACAAGACATAAACAAAAAACTGAGAACATTATTTAGTACACATGATACAAGTCTGAAACAAACACAGCCAGAACTGTATTCAATCAGCTGTATATTTGATCAAAAAGTTCCATTTTGAGATACTTTTTAAAACCTTGCGCTTTTGGTTTCATTTGATAATGAATTCCATAACTTTGGAGCACGGATTGTGAAAGATCTATGAAGTTTTATTGATATGCTGACAAAATTTAACAACAAATACTGGCAGATTCAAAAATTGTCACGTATCATAATAACTAAGAAACATTGCTGATAAGTGAATGAAACAACAAATTCTATAAACTGTCCAGACATAGACTTGGATATTAAATCAACATATTTGAGGAAAAAGGGGAGATAATTAGCAACATAACAACAGGGTGACCTATGGATTGAGACTAACCAGATACAGAGATCAATACACTATTCACCCAATCAACTATCATCAGTCTTCATTCAAATATGATCGTGTCTTCGTCTTAAAGCCTTTAATTAAATGTTTGTTGGCATTAATGTATATCTGATGTTTCAAGTGTGTGTACCAAGTGCAAGAGAACCACCACTCAAATTAAATTTGATCTTTAATTAACTGGTCAGGTTTTCATTAACAGGGCTCACAAGAATAACAGCCAGAAACACAGCTATTGGGTAAAATTCTCCCATTCACAAATTACCATTTGTAAGTTTCAAATAAATGATGTATTGTTTTGATGAGGCATTAATTCCATTGCATTTGGTAAGTAGAGAGAGAGAGAGAGAGAGAGAGAGAAATGCGGTTTCACATCCACCCGACACAAACTATGTCATTTCAGGACAAACATATATTTCAATAATTCACTTGTGCATAGTGGTCTTCAGCAGTGGGAGGAAACTTGAGGACCTGGAGAAAACCCACGCAGTTAGACAAGAAAACTTACTCCTTGTCACACTTTAAACCATTCAGCTACTCCCCCCCCCCCCCATTGCATTCGGTCAGGTTTTAATTTTGGTTGGCCTACCGTGCATGGAGACCTAACTACTTTATCAATTCTCTGTTCTCTTTGAACTCCTGATACCTAAAAGCAGCCACTGTGATTGGTTAAATTTGTTGTTGCCAAATTTGTCCTACTGTTCTGCTCCGACTGGGCTAATGAAGACGAACATATGCCATATATTGTGCTATGATGAGGGAAATTTTGCTCGGACAGTGCGCTACGGCCTACTCTTATATCAAACTTCAGCTTCCATAGGATCTTTAACATGCATGTTGTATGTGTACACAGGACTTTGTTTTTTTTGGTCCGATCCAAACGATTATACGCTGCCCCTAATTAATGTCTAATTAATAATTTAGAAAACATTTCCGCCTAAAAAATGACCTGCAAAGGGAAGATTTAGCTCTTGCATAATGTATGTTTAATTTTCATCAATTTCTAACAGACCCTGATTGTCAAGCCTATCTTGAAAGTTAATAGATTTAACCATTCCATTCATTCAGAACTATCTGAGCTACTTTCATCCCCACTTTCAGCTGATTGGGTTTGGGCTAATACAATATCCCTCTGACATTCCGATTTCCCTTATCTATGCCAGAGAGAGAGAGAGAGAGATGGGGTTTAACATCCACTCGACAGAAACTATGTCATTTCAGGACTAACATATGGTTCAATTTTATATCAATAATTTGCTTATGCGTAGAGGTCTTTAGAAGTGGGAGGAAACCGGAGGACATGGAGAAAACCTACGAGGTTGGACAGGCGACTCTACTCCTTTTCATGTGCAACCTGGGAATCGGAACCACACCCACTGACTAAATGAAAGACTTAATGATACAACACGCATGCGCTAACCATTCGGCCACCCAAACCACCTTCATACTCCTCGCAGTGTTTCGTTTGATTAGAGCTAATCAAACTAAACACTGCTTTAATGGAAGCAAATTTCTGTTCCAAACTATAACTGGTCAATAGTCCGATTATCAACCAATAGCTAACTGCGTAACAATATCGGTACATTCTAAACAAAGCTCCAAATTGGACCAAATATGTTTACATAACGTTACGTCATGACTCACAATTTTATTATGCCCAATTAACCAGTGCATAGCAGAATATTGCAGAAAAACTAATTGCGTGACAAACGAGGCTATCACACGAATACAATGTAAACAATACTGTATGGAGACGAAGAATACTTTCACTGTTTTTAATACCTTAAATCACTGGCCAAAATTTTAGGGAAGACCCCAGATTAAACGAAGGGCTGTCATGTTGCTGTACTTGGGATAGATTTGATTGAACGAGAAGAATACACACACTCCCTCAAAAGCTCAAGTATCAGAAGTCAATCCAGCAATGGCCAGAGAGGGATTTCTTGGACCATTGCTTCAGGAATATGAATTTGATTAATTCTGATGTGATCGAGACACTCTCCAGACACTACATACTGTATCTGAAATGTTCTATAGATGACTTAGAATTTATAATACTGTGGATGTGTGTGTTAATATTATTACAAACTGGATATCAATATCAATAATTGTCCATCTAGATTATCCAGGTAGATTTTTATGACAGAAGAAGTTACTTTATAGTTTGCT